GTACTACTACACACACACACACACACACACACACACACACACACATATATATATATATATATATATATATATATATATATATATATACATAATAACATATAGTTTTCCGTTACGGAAAGACTATCACAGTATACGCTCGGTATATGCATCTTCACTATGTTTATGTAAACAACCACACACACACACACCTTCACATCCTCTGGTAGGGCTGCCAGCCACTTGGCCGCCAGCTCGGCGGCGTTGCGATGGTTGACGTTCTTCTCTGTGGCTTTCAGGTCTTCAGCACTGGTCTCTCCCTCTACCGCACCCACACCCACACCCACAGACACCTGCACAGTCTGTAGGTTAGTGCGCAGTCGCTTCGCTAAGGTGGCGTGTAGTGCTGAGTCGGCATTGGCGTGCAGACCCAGCAGCTGTGGAATGGGACGGTGGAGTGGAGGGGGAGAGGAATGTGTGAGGGCGGGTGAGGTGGTACGGCAAGTGGGAAGGTACAAGCGAGGCAGAGGGCGCACAAGGGTAGGGTTGTAGGGTATATGGGTGCAGAAGTGTACGAGTTTAGGGTGCATCAATGTAGGGGTTTAAGTTGTACCGGTGTAAGGTTTTAGGGTTCACAAATATAGAGTTTTGGGGTGCACCAGTGTATGGATTTAGGGTGTACCAGGGTAAGGTTTAGGGTTCACAAATGTAGAGTTTTGGGGTGCATCAGTGTAGGAGTTTAGGGGTGTAGGCTGTACCATGATGAACATACGGGCATCTGGGGTGGGTGGGGCATTCAGGTAGTGCTCGTAGAAGGTTGGCGTGCTACACAGTGCTTACGTAATGGTGTGTACACAGGAGATGCCAATGGCATGGGCTAGGAGGGTTATGTTCTTACGATTGGGGGTGCCATGGGGGTGTGTGTAGACGTGCGCAGGGTCGTGAATTGGACATCTGGTGGCGTGCACGAGATGGTTGGTTCAATCCAGAAATAGATCAGATGACACAAGACCCATGCCAAGGGCCCTCATTAAGTGCGTGAGCTATTAAGGTGGTTGATAGTCTGTCTACTCACGAGTGTGTGAGCCATGTAGGTGTAGTAGAGGACCACAACCGCAAACAGTCGTGGCTGCCTACAGCATCTGGCAGTGTTGGTGTGCTGTGCGATGGGACTGCCTTGATTCGTTATCAGAAGCCCCAGGCATGTGCATAGTGGGTGAGACGACTACCCACACCACGTACGTGCACACACACTCAATCTGTATGAATGCCACAGACCCAACTCACAGGCATGTACACACATGCATGGACACGCATGCTGATCACAACCGCACACACAGGGCCAGCGTGCACAGACATACCATTGGCGACTCAGAGCTCTCTCCACTCCACTGTTCCACCCAGGCCAAGTACTCAGCCTTGTTGCGCGCGTCAGGGATTACGACACCCGCGTGTGGGGTCTCTGAAGGGTGCAGGAGAGGGGTCTGCGGTTAGAACTTAGGGGGTGTGGGGTGTGTGTGTGTGTTTAGGGTTTAAGGATATTGGGATATTGGGGAGGGTTTATGTACGGTTGATTCACTAGGGGTGGGTCCATGAGGTGTTGTCACGGCACACGACTACAACGCTCAGATGACTAGCTATTCAGCTCAACCAACAGACGACAAACCCCCCAACACAACACACGTGCACAGCAGCACAGGTACATCCATCTGCAGTGCACACACAGACGACTGACGGCCAACGGGTGCAACGGTGATGCAGGGCAAGCACAACCGAATGCACACACTCAAACACACACAGATGCGTGCGCACTGAAACACCCTCTCACACGGACGAACTAATCAGCACAGCCGATTAGGCACATCTATGGCTTTCATTGGATGCAATCTAGGCCCGCCCATCTATCGCTTCCATTGGGCTTCAAAATTTTTTTTTTTGGGTCTTCAACTACACTCAGCGAATGTTGCTATGTAAGCGATTATACGGACAGCACACCACACACCAATGTACTGACGAATAACAATAGCTTGTTTGGCGTGAACACATCGCACCAGGGCATACCGTTGCACACAGCAGAACTCTCGCACACAACTCTGAACCATAAACCCTAGACCCTAGAACACTCGAGCTTTAGATGGCGTACCATTTAGCACAGCTTACATTACAGGGCACTGATACAGAATATGAGACATAGACACACTCGCGCATGTACCGTTGTTGGTTGACGAGTTCACCAGCGCAAAGTCAATGTCGAAGCTCTGCGCCACAAACAAATGGCTCAGGAACGCATCCAGCAGATGACGATCAAACGCATTATCCACGCGACCACCATAGATACACTGCAAGCGACAGGCGGCAGATACAAACATGAGATTAAATGAGCAGATACAAACATGAGGTTAAATGAGCAGATACAAACATGAGATTAGATGAGCAGATACAAACATGAGATTAAATGAGCAGATACAAACATGAGATTAAATGAGCAGATACAAACATGAGGTTAAATGAGCAGATACAAACATGAGAGATTAAATGAGCAGATACAAACATGAGATTAAATGAGCAGATACAAACATGAGGTTAAATGAGCAGATACAAACATGAGATTAAATGAGCAGATACAAG